TATTTCTCGTTGTTCGCTTTGTGTTGCCGCAGTATTCGCCACAATATAACAGAATTGCAAAGTCCCAAACCGGTTCAACGCCTTCTACATAATAACCGGTTCATGGCTAGCGCGTTTTAACAAAGAACGTAAATCTACCTTCCGTAATTTCGGTACCTACGTAATTTACCTTCTTTGATGAATACACGGAAAAAAAGAAAAACATTAATTAATGATTAATTTTTTGCAACAAATATTTTAACAACTCTGGCTAAATAAACAGCTGATTTGTAGCGAGTGATTCGCAACCCTGTGTGGTTATCAACGAGCTGCTAGTTGGCGTTCAACTGACAGTTGTGAAGTGGATACTTTTTTCTTAACTGTCTTTCTCGTGCCCGAGGTTGGTGCTGACTTTGTAAGTGCATTTTATTTTTATTTTATTGCTATTTAATTATTCCAAAAATCCATTTATTGGTCAAAATCTTACCGAGAACTGTATTTTTGTAAAACACAAACATTCAAAAAGGGGGAGTTAGCTGCATAAGTGGGGCAAGTCTAAAAGATCATGTGCTAATTATTCGTTATGTAACCTCAACCGAAAAATTACAAATCGGTATATGAGGCATAACTTCGGCAACGACATATGACCTTGTGCAGAATTTCTTCTAAACTACTCTTTCTATTTTCATTCCAGTTTTTAAAGGAAATCACCGAAACAGGGAAAAGTAACATAATCCACAATGTTCTCGTCACTGTATGAAGCTGCCAAAAACTCCCCATTCCGGACGCCATTTTCCAAAGTCCAATGCGACAGCACCGGTAAGTCGGGCCCTGTGTCCGGACGCCAGATTCAGGCAGCTTCAACTCCTACTGGTGATTCGTGCGAATTCGGCAGCAACAAATACTATGCCCTCTGCGGTGTCGGCGGTATCCTGTCCTGCGGTACTACGCACACCTTCGTCGTACCGTTGGATTTGGTGAAGTGCCGACTCCAAGTTGATCCCAAAAAGTACAAGAACTTGATCAATGGCTTTAAGCTTACTGTGGCTGAAGAAGGCGCACGTGGTCTGGCTAAGGGCTGGGCTCCAACATTCATCGGCTACTCGGCACAGGTGAGTGAGTGGGCGATGTAAATTAGTGTTAGGTGCATGATTGGCATAAGTACAACGCACACTGGAATGGGAGTTGGAAACAAGCAAAACCAAATAATGTGCCTCAAGTATTTTTGCTGATGGTACCATTCGTTGTTTATTGAAGCGTGGAAGTCAGAATATACACAAACGAAAAGTATGGCGTCGAGGTTACACAATCCATTTTCATTATTGGTTTATTGATTTTTAATGCTAAAACGATTAGAACTTATTTCGTGCCCCCAAATTAGGCCTCAATCAAGTATTTATAGTTTTTATTTCCTTCTTCTGCTTATCACCCACGCATTTTGGTGATTAATTTTTATGCTAATCAGTTTTTGTTTTAACAAAATAGTTCCTCGCTTATCAGCGTCTGCTTTCTGCGGTAGTGTATTTAAGAAACGCGGCGTCATCAATTTAAATTGTTATCATGTGAGAATTGTTTGTGTAAACCATTTCTATCATATACAAAGTGGTACCCAAGTTAAATATTTGCTGTTTATTTTTAATTGTTAATTTTTTTATTATATAACTTTATTTTTGAATAAGTATCTAGTAAAATTTGTTTTAAAGCAACACGTATTTGCTAGTTTTTTTTTAGTTTTAATTTGAATACAAGATTATTTACAAACGTGTATCCACATTTGTTTACTACTTAGGGACTGTGCAAGTTCGGCTTGTACGAAGTCTTCAAAGTGTACTACGCCAATCTGTTGGGAGAAGAGAATGCCTACTTGTACCGTACTTGGTTGTACTTGGCAGCATCTGCATCAGCTGAATTCTTCGCTGATATTGCATTGTCTCCTATGGAAGCCGCCAAGGTCAAGATCCAAACCACCCCGGGCTTTGCTAACACTTTGCGTCAGGCTTTGCCTAAGATGATCAAGGATGAAGGTATTGGTGCTTTCTACAAGGGTCTGGTGCCATTGTGGATGCGTCAAATCCCATACACCATGATGAAGTTCGCTTGCTTCGAGCGCACTGTTGAATTGTTGTACAAGTAAGTCAATTTCCACTTTACTAAATTAGCATTATGATAACTACCTATTTCTTACTAAATTCTATTTAGGCACGTTGTACCAAAACCACGTGTCGAATGCACCAAGGGTGAACAGCTTATTGTGACATTCGCTGCTGGTTACATTGCTGGTGTCTTCTGTGCCATCGTCTCCCATCCAGCTGATGTGGTCGTTTCGAAACTGAACCAAGCCAAGGGCTCATCTGCAATCCAAGTGGCTAAATCGCTTGGCTTCATGGGTTTGTGGAACGGTCTCACGCCACGTATCATTATGATTGGTACACTCACTGCCCTGCAATGGTTCATCTACGATGGCGTCAAGGTTGCCTTGGCTCTGCCTCGTCCACCACCAGCAGAGATGCCAGCTTCCCTCAAGGCAAAACTCGAGGGTCAACAGTAAAATAAAAAAATGTTAGATTTAATTCAACTCATCAGCAATTACTAATACGACTCTAAATTAAATAAGTTCAGCCAACGATATTAGAGCGTGCGACGTCAAGTCGTCACAACTAAAATAGTTAAGACGCAAAAAGTATAAAACAACTACCACAGCAGTACGATTGAAAGCAGAAATTATACACGTACATACATATATTGACTCGGGCCTAACGTATCGACACATTTAAAGGGGACTATATCAGTACAACTAAAGGTTTTTGCAACAAGCAGAAAACTTTACTGTTAACTCCAATACTCAACGCATTTACAGCATTGTAATTCTGTCATTCCGGTGGATACTGTAAATGTGCCACACTTTAAGCTTTGCATTTCTATTTATAAACCGTTTTAACTAACTAAAATTAAAATCTAATTTCAATGTACATTCTGTATTTCTATATTTCTTAACTTTTAACTTTTTAAACTTGTACAGCATTGTTTAACGTATTTAAGCTAAAATCCTATGTATGTGCTGTGCGCTTAAGGCAATAAAATGAAATTGAATACATTTTTGTTTGAAAGTCATAATGGTGTTATTGCTTATTGTAAGATCAGTACGCAGCATTAACTATCGAAAGTGTATTGTTTTAAACACATATGTATGTTATGTACTGTATTTTGTAATCCCCTCTAACAGCGTTGTTAACATTGTCCGAAGAAAAACATAGTAAAATATACAAAACTAAAAATACCTTGGTGGTTTTTCTTTGAGCGAAAACGGTTGCTTGGCGCTTCGATTTTTAAAGGATTAATTTAGTCGATGCGCGGTAGCATTTCACGTACAAAATGCCTCAAGAAGCATTCAAGGCATTATGGCCCGTATGCATAACAACTAAGGCATCCAATCCCGGACCATTTTGTGAATCCCGGGATTTCGGGATCTTAAATTGGTAATCCCGGGATGGCAGGATATTTCGGTATATTATTACCATTAATTAAAATATGCTAACAAACTAGTTTTGTGATCTTGCTTTAGTGCGAATACTAGAAACAAAAATAAATTGTGCTTTTAAGCAAAGAAATATAAATGTCTATACTTTATATCAGTTTAAAGAGCTAATTACAAACTGAATAAACTAAAAACTATGGAATTGAAATTCATTCATATTGCAATCGCAGCCATTTTTACAAAAAGTAAAAAATAATAGATAATTTTTACACTTACATACATAGAGTATTTATACATAAACAAATATGTGTAATAATATTAGTATGTAACAACATATATATTACAAGTCGGAAAAATTTCGTAAGAAAAAATTATGTCATGTGTCCGATTCGCCTAAAATTTTTATGGGTTCTATACATGAAATAAGACAACACGTATTCGAGGATTTTTTTTCTTCGGAGATATGATCTGTCAAAGTTCGAATTTTTTGTTGATTCGGACCATGGGCGTAGCCAGGTAGGGGCAGGGGGTGCTAGAGCCACCCCCTCCCTCCCCCCCTAACTTTCAAATTTTCCTTATATATATATAAAATAGTACCCTGAAATGCCAGCTTAATAGGGTTATTTGTAGGGTTGCATTTTATAATTATTTTATACCATTACAGTGTCTGAATTTCGTTTTATATTAATTGGGTCGTAAATTAAATTATGTCCCGGGATCCTGGGATACCGAGGGCTTAATCCCGGGATTTCGGCACTCACAAAATGGCTCGGGACTCGCGGGAATCCAGGGCGTGGACAATAATCGGCTTTTCGCTTCAGGCGCTAAACAGTTAAATAGTATATCAAGCAAATTGCATGGGCCTTCAACAAGTACTGCTAAAAGTCTTATAAGCAGGGAACGGATATTATGGTAGTTGCCTTCTTTCTGCTAAAGATAGAGTATACTCGATTAAGAATGTCCACGATTTAGCTTTTCTTGCTCTTTTTAAGATATTTGCCTTTTCTACCTTTAATTGGAAAGGGTAAGCAAAAAGCCTTATTCCTGATATTATGTAAGATATAGAGATGGCCTATCTACAATAGGAAAAATACCTTGGACCTGCTTAGCAGAGTTGTAGCAACCTTCTCGGGGAACTGGCCCATAGGCAAACACGCTGCAATGAGTGGTCTACCCCACAATATAGGTTTGGTGCGGCTTTCAACTAGACCATTTCCTTTGTGAATGTCCAGACCTTTCCATAATTAGACATAAAACATTAGGAAAACATCTGGTATCACAACTAACCGACCTATCAGGAGCTACCGTAAGCGAAATCGGTAGATTCATAAGGGAATCGAAATGTTTGGACATAGCAAAATAGAATGTGCATTGAAAAGATATCACCCCCGATAAGTGGTACAACAACGCGCTAATTGTGACCTGGACAGCGGCTAAGAAGCACTGCAACCTACCAACCAACGGCGTTCACAGTTCAGTCCACCATCGCCAACATCTCACGTATTTGTTTTTGAATACCGTTAGTTGAGGAGCAGCCAAGGCCTATGCAGTTGTAAGTTATCCGCTCCTCGTCGCTGCATACAAAGAAAGGCACACGAGTGTTTTGACGGCGCCGCTTCGGGAGCGTATTACTTCGCTGAGGTGTTTTTACGCGTATTTTTTTCGCAGTAAACTCTTGAGTTCGAGTCTTCTTTAGTACGCGCCGACGATATACATTTCGAATGACGATTTGCTAAACAAACAATAAAACTTAGTGTAATCTTTTTGTAAAAATTAGAATATCGCTTTATTTGCATTTTTTTCTTTTTTTATTAATAAATTGTTTACTGGCATTTTATTGCATTTTAGTACATATATAAATTTAAATTGTAACAAAAGTAAAATAATATTTTTTATGGCAACATATTCGACATTTTTACGCGCGTTTACATAAAATTAATATTTACAAAAATATATCCGTTTCACTTAATGTTACGCCGATACACTTATTCCCTAAGTTTATTACAAAAAAATGTTTATATAATATTTTTTTTTTAAAGCATACAATATCTATAGGTTTTTATAAAAATGTCGATGCAATAGTAAAAAATAAACTTGTAAGGTTTTAAAAAATCATAATAGTAATGTACATAGTATCATGTGATTAAAAATATTATTTATATATGGTGGATATGTATTAATGTCAGTTTATATAAAATAAAGTAAAATTACATACATAAAAAGTCCCATTGAGACAGCCTTGTGGTGACGCAATAGGTGCATAAGTCGAGTATATATATAAAAACGAATCACAAATAAAAGAATTTCAACATCAAACATCAAAAAAAGACAGTCTTCTCACACTCGAAATGGACTTGCAAGATTAAAAATATACGAATGAAAAGAGTCAACTGTTGCAAGTCAATGGTGCCGCGAATGACTTTTTAGTGACAAAATCAAATATAAAAACCAGGGACCGAAAATAATCGTTGAATATTTATTTGGTGAGTTTTATTTTTTTTTGGTCTAGAATAATCGTTAAATTGGGTTTTTATTTAAGTTTGTATCGTTTATTTTTTTCGAAAATTTTTAACCGTTATAATAAAGGCGGCATTTTTATGACCGATTTAAACCTTTTATGAACTAAAAAATTAAATATGAAAATAACAGTTATAATATGATCGAAAAAATAAAAATTAAAAAATAACAATTATTGTTGAACAAAAAAAATAAAAATTTTTAAAATAACGGTCAAAGTTGTTCGGTGAAATAGAAATCCAATTTTAACAGTTTAACCATGACTTTTTTATTTTAAAAAACCATAACCGTTCCGGCACCTGGCTAAAATGAGTAAAAAATCGTAAAAAAAACTTACGAGTACAAACCCACAAACAAAAACAAAAACGCATTTTCAAATCACACAAACTCCTAGCGTTTGCAGCTCTACACTATTTCACACATCTACAATAAATTTTCTGTTTTAAACTTAAAAGCTGTAGTAGTTGTTACATATTTTTTTTAATGTTTTTATAATAGTTTTAATTTTTTTTTTGCTTATGTTTTTATTTAGATTTAGTGAAATTATATATGTATGAATATGCATTAGTGTTGCTTTTAGTTTAAGAATCTTCATTCATTTGCAGCTCTTTTGCTTTATAGTTTCAAGTAGTTCCTGTAAGATTGTACTAACTTTCCCAATGCTAACGCTAAACTCACTACTATGGCTCTAAACGAGCTATTGTTGTCGCACAAAAGGAGCACACAGGCTCTTGACAGTCTTTTGTGTATATACATATTTATGTACACTTGTAGTCACGTAAAAGTTACCACGACTTTTTTAAGCATAGTTCATTCTGTAACAAAAGCTATACAAAAAAACTATGTAAATAAAAATTGCACACTTTCTAATTAAAGGTTTTACCAAAATTTCTGGAATGCGGTTTAATAGCCCATTTAATTTTAGTATAATAATGTGCAATTTTGAAGTGGCCTAAAATTCTCAGTGATTTTTGAAAAAAATTTTCCGATGATATTGTCTAGTTTTTTCCATATAACGAATGCTCGCATCCTTTTTATATGGAAAAAATTTGCAATATCGTATGAAAAAAATTCAAACTTGCACTTTATTATGCTAAAATTAAATCAAATGGTTGAAATTTGGATGAATTTTTTAGAATTTTGCGCAAAGTTTGACATCTTCCTTTATATAGTTTTTGTTACAATGTAACTATATAAGTTTTTTTTTTTAATTTACCAAACTCTATCTAATTAAAAACAGTCGTGGTAATGTTTACGCCGCCACAAGTGTATGTATGTATGAGTGTTGAGTTTGCTTTGCATTTCCTAAATGGTCTCGTAGTATGCTCGCTTTACCGCACTCTTTTTTGTTGTTTAGTATATGTTTCTTTCTCTAAGGGCCATTTTCACATTAGGGATATTACCGAAATTGAGCAAGTGCCCTGATTTTTGTGCAAATGAGCTGATTAGCTTAAAAAACAACATTGACAACATTCGTTGGTTTGAGCTAATCAGCTCTTTTGCCCGAGTGCCAGGTCACTTGCTTAATTTTGTCAATATACCTAGTGGAGTTCCCACTCAGATATGCGTGCACGTATGTTTGTGTGGCAGTTTACTTTAAATTTCCAATACAAAAATTTTAAGCTTACTACCGAATATGGGTATGAGTTAACAGTCCACTGTGAAATTGGCCCTAAGAATTTTGCGAGCAACTTCATTGTCAATAAACATTTGAAAGAAATTTCTTTGAAGTTGGCTAAGTTGAAAAACGCTGCCAATATCACGATTTAAAAGTCTGTTCAAACGATGCAAGGCGCAGGCAGCTAACCAAATAGTAACTGGTAATAAGGCTCTGTCTTTTGCGTAAACCGTTTGTGTTGTGAGAAATCAGCAATGCGCTCTGATAACATTAGGGGCGTTCATTGCTGACTTCTGAAACACAGTACAAGGTTGCTTGGCGGGCTCTGTTAAAAATATATCTAATAATGCCATATATGGCTTAGACATTCTACTATCACTGCTACGCCCGCCTGATGGAGCATGCTGATTCTCCGACACCTTTACTAGCTGGCCGTGTGAACTGAGACCAGCTCAACTTCACTTGACTTAGAGTATCTAATGCTGGCCAACCAGTCTCTGGCGGTAATCAACCGTAATCATGTAATAATTAACGCGCTATGCTAGCGGACTTTTTTTTTTCAAATTTAAATGCTATCTTTTTGTTTTAAACCATCTCGGTACTTTCTTCTGATTTGCTGTTATTTATTGTCTTCGGGCTGGTTGTTCAATGTCTAGTTAACACAAATCGGAGGTAGAAGCTCCGGTTAAAAACAACGACTGCTTTATCGATCACATGTTATTTGCATGATGTCGAAATCGTCGATAATAATGATTAACTGGGAGGTAATGATAACCAGACATTGAACGACCGGTCCTTACTCTTGGTTGTCCAATATCTATTTTACATTGTTTTTCGTTTTTCTGTTTGTAAGTTCAGTCAGGCAGAGTTAATATCACGTCCCATTATAGGCTCGAAAGCCCCTTAAATTGAGGCTTATAGATAGCACTTTCAAATTTTCAGAGGCCACTAAAATAGTTTTTTCAAACTTAAAGCTTTTTCCAAAGTGATCTCAAATATTGCACCAAAATAATTTTTCTTCCTTGCTCTTCTCATACATAATTTCCAAATCATTAGCTGCTTTAGTTATGGCGGTCCGTGGGTGCAATTTTTTTTCTATTTGGGAATCAATATTTTCTATCTCAAGCCTACCACTATCACTTTCACAAAATGTACGATATGTATTTGTTGTGGAAATTGCTTTTTTGAGTGCAGGCCACATAGTAGAAATTCTTAGATGATCGGTAATTGGGCTGCTGCTGCGCACAATTTTTTTAGTCCGCTATATACAGCACTAAGTACCACAATAAAATGTTGCTGCCTTGGGATATTCCTGCGTCAGCGTACTTTAAATACGGCCTCGTCCTGCCAGTTCTTTTTTTTTGTAATATTGTAATTTTGCAATTCTAAATTTTTTTTAACTTTTATAGTTGATGCTGTGACTTTTTTTTACTTGTTCTATATTGGCATTTTGTAACATTCTTGTTTGTAGGAGGGTTGATTGGTTGCGCGCTCGCTTTGGCACGAAACCCATATCACTAACGCGACTCGGGTATTCGTAGTCCTTATTTTTTGCTTCTAATAATCCTTCACCAATATTTCTCCTCGTTCCGTTTTTGTTGCCTGTTTAATTTGAGGAAATTTTCCTTGTTTAGCTTCACTGTTTATTCAAGTTCAATTCACCAACAGCTTGACTGTCTTGTAATAGCAATGACATTTACCAGTAGGGTCCCGACTCCTGACTCCACTTATTCGGGGTTTGGTGCTCTTTGGAGTTGGCTAAAGCCTCCGAGAGCGCTGACATCACATGGCCTCGGCAGGAATTGCGTGAGGAATTCTTGTCATATGGCGAAAGAGCATTGTAGTAGAAGGGCGAACGCTTCGTTATAGTATAGTTCTTGGCCTGCGGCGGAGAAGAAGATAGAGTTGGTTAATAAAGCACTTAGCGCTTATAGGTTAAGTGTGTCTTACCCCATTATTGTCCCAGTATTCTTGATCGTTGGCACGATAACAAATGCAGAATTCCAAGCGTTTCGAGGATGGTGGCAATGTGATTTTGAAGGAGAATGTATCGAATACGACATGAGCAAAGGTTGCTGGGCCGTAGGCCTGTAGAAGAAATTTTTCAAAGAGTTTAATTAGTTCCCGTCCGCTAAGTTAAGACTAAGAAAATATTCGAACTTACCCGTGCAAAAGTGCAGAATATATCCTGTTGACTCTTCCAGTCATCCCATGTGACGCGCACGACCACTTCCTTTTCGAAGGAGACATTTTTCACCTTTACTGTGCCCACAACAATCGACTCTTCATCCTTGACGATCACATTTTCAAGTGAGACAAAGTCGCGATCGATTTTCTGTCTGTAAGGGAAGATGAAAAAAATTTGGTAATAATTTAAGTTTAGATATATGTACCACTAGACCTTTACTCAACTAACCTGAATGATAGATAATCTGATGCTGGTTGCTTGAAGTCAACGGTCCACTGATCGGCGGGATGTGGACTAACTAAACCCTGTGTGATTTGCTCCAAGAATTTCGTGCTCCACAAAGGCGGTACATTCGAGGGTTCTGACATGACGCGGACTTCCGTCAACGGTTGACCCTCATCGTCTGCAAAGATAACACGTTTGCGGCAACGGCTGCAAAGAGAGCAAGAAAATATTGCTTTATTTTTATGTATCATATTTTTTCGGGTAAAAATGGGCTTAGTTTAGTAGCTCAGCGGCTATTTTTAATGATTTTATTTACTCATAGTCATAAAGTTTACATACATAAAGTTTACATACATACATACATATATGTATGTATCCAGAAAGTGTCACATAATTTTCAATGAACGTAAATGCATTTTTTAGGTTTACAATTTAGCGTTTAAGAAACGCCACGATCACCCCATTAACAAATCACCAGACCAAGCCATCATCAAAACGTCAGACCCCGCCTTGTTGACAAAAAAAGTTCAGCCAAAATAGAACACCAAATCATTTGAACGTTTTATTGCCAATAAATAATTGAGCCAAAAATTGTTGACGCCACAGAATTCTTAATAGAGCTTAGCATGTGAGTCCCGAAGTTCTGCTTGCATACATGCAATAATGTATGTATATGTACGAGCACATGTTGTAATATCGATGGAGGTGTTTTTAAGGTTTTCTAGAACGGATAATTGGTATTTTTGCCTTAACCTAACAGCTGGTCTATTCGAAATTAAGTTGCGATAGTATTTTTTATTTACTTTCAAAGGTCTAAGTACGAAGCGCATACCATTGCTATTTGAACAGATGTGGCATTTGCGCCATTTTGACGCTAATTACGTTGAGTTAGGAAGGTGGGAGAAAATATTGTTGACGGGTAGGGTGATCACGATTGACCCACAAAAAAATAAAAAAGAACAGTTCTTTGTTTGGTTTTAATGCTTTTTAAAGGTCGATGCAAGAAAAAATTAGTGTGCAAGTGCGTTTAGACGTATGTACATTCGGGTGCCCCGCCAAAAAAAGTTGCGGTTTTTGCACCGGAATTATAAAATTTATTATAGTTTGAGACTTCCGCAAAAATATTTGGACAAAAAACTTGAGATTAATGTATGTACGTTAGCTGGACAGAATTGAAAATACCTCCATCAAGCTCATTATTTTGATCCTGTTCTAAAATTTTTTAAACATTTCCATGCAGAACATTTAAGCTTAAACTCTTCTATCATCTAAGGTGATTGTTTGGTAAAAATAATTTTAGAAACTAATTTTGTTTATAAAAAAAACTTGAGTTTTGGAGGTATTTTTTAATCGGTAAATCTAAATATTTTTCCGAAATATTTTGGCAGAAGCCTTAATATATAATACATTTTACAATTCCTATGACAAAATCGTAATTTATATTTTTTTTGTATGGGGAGTGATGCACCCTAATGTTATTAATATGTATGCACTAATAATGTTAATACCGGGATTCCTGGCAAATAATCCCGGTCATTTTGACCCTTCCTCAAAAAACCCCGCAAAAAGCAAATTCGGAAGGTCGTTAGAGGACTGATATATTCTAGAAAGATATTCTTCCGAAAATTTTATTGGGAGTCTTCTCAGGCAAAAACTTCATGCCACCAACGTAAAATATAAAATCAACAAAAAAAAATTGGTTTATTTACAAAAAATTTAAAATTGAGTTTGGCTGTTATTCCACCTTGGCATAGAAGTGTTTGCCTGAGAAGACCCTTAGTAAAATTTTCCGAAGAATATTTTTCTAGAATATATGAACCCTCTAACAATCTTCCAGATGTGGGGTTAGTGGGGTTTCTTAAAGTAAGGGTCTATACGACCCTTTCGGGCGGCAGCTAATGGGTTAAAATGTTCTACGAAAATACTTCCCTGAAATTTTACTATATATCTCTTAATCTTTAATTTCGCTCAGATGTTTATTTTACCCATTTTTCCATTTCTTTGAAAATTACTAAGGCGGGAACATGAAAATTTTTGTTGGCCATAAAATCAAAATACGAGCCAACTTTTGCAAATCCATCGAGTGTTTTATTAATGTTGCTACACAACATTTTTATTTTTATTTTTATTTTTATGAGAAGCTATTTTTCATGGCAGAATACACTCGCAGGTTTGTCATTGCCTACCGAGGGACGACCGCTGTTAAGAAAAAAGCTTTTTTCTAAATTTGTTTGCGATGTTGCTTTTACCAGGGTTTGAACCCAGGTCCTGCTGAGTGAAAGCGCGCACTACTTACCAATACACCACAACGGCCGCCTTACACCACAGCGGCATGTTTTCAGAAAATATTAGCAAAGTCCGGGCTGGTTTGAATTTTCATAAAATTGTCGAACAGTGTTATTGAAACAATTAACATCTAAAATTGAGCCTCAAATATTTCCGGAGATGTTCGATTTTCGATGCCACTGAATTTGTCAAAATAAATATCTACTTCAATTCAATCAAATAAAATGCCGCTTAATTCAGTAAAATCGGGCGAAATAACAATTAAAAAAAATAGAAAAAATATACTTTGACTATCATTAATAAATTAAGCTCAACTACACAAACACCGCAGTTAATTATCTTGCGCTTTATATTCAATTTTTATTCGTATGCAAATCGTTTGTTCATTAGCGGGCTTACCTATGCTTTAAAATTAGCTTAGTTTTTTTTTTTGAACCTAGTCTTGAAACGAGCTAGTGACACAGTGGCAAAGATAATATAGCGGCGCCTGGAATATACATATACACATACTTACATAATATGTACATACGTATGTGTAAACAGAGCTTGTTAGACAGTTTTTCATTAAATATCGCCTTCTAAATTGGCTTATGATAATTTTAGTTTTTATCGACAAAAACCTTTAGACGCCATGTCAAAAATGGTAATGCATTTTGCGTATACGCGGTATTGAACGCCACGAGAGGATATGTATATAACAAGTAATTTTTAGCAAAAAAAAACCGTCTTCAACCCTCATATACAAAAAAAAAAAATATATATATATATATATATCTCATAATCTACTGATCGGATCTTAACCAGATTAGTATGGGACCACCTCTGAGATACTACCTTTCCGCTACAAAAAGACGTTGACGTGGTCCAAAGTTATGCGGTAACATAACATAAAAAAAAAAATAAATAAAACATAAAAATATTCCGACGAACTGATAACCTCCTCCTTTTTTTGGAAGTCGGTTAAAAATTACAAAACTTCGAGATTAAAATAGACGTAAAAGCAAAAACTGATTTAAAAGTTTGCAAACATTTTTTTTTTAAGTATGAATTATTGAACTCTGAACAAAATTATGGTAAGCTCTAAATGAACAATAAATTTACATTAAATAAAAATTGTTTAACGTAACTTTATTTAGAGATTGTAAAAAAAATTTGCAAAGTTAAAAAATTCATATCTTAAAAAACAATGCAAATTTCAAGATAATTTACGATCAGTGTGAGGTGTTTTATAAAAAAAGCAAATTTTCCAACAATGTTTATAAGTTGTGCTTTTACGATTTTTCTAATTTTGAAATTCTCTAAATTTTATTATTTTTCGAATTACAAGAAATAAACTTGTAAAATCCCGGAAACTTTAAAATTCATTGTATGATAAAAGAAAAGTTCCTACCGAAATTCATCTAAATCAAAAATGGCAGATACCAACAATTGGTCGATTTGACGTGGACTTACCCGTATATTCACTTTAAATAAATACCAGTGATATTTTCATTTCGGCAAATTTGTACCCTTCCTCTTCGATCGCTTTTTGTAGCCGATCGCCAACATACATACTGCACACAAACTCATCGCTGTGGTAGGTAGCAGACCATTGTGGCTGTGACTCTGGCTAATTTTAGAAACTTTAATGTTTATATTTTATGTACGCATGTCTGAGAAAATGATGTTTATTTGCGTTCTTTATTGATACCATAACTTGTTTGACATTCATTGCTATTCTTTGGTTTTGTCCAGATTTCGGGATATTTTTGAGACTTTACAGCTACATTTATTTACGCAAGTTCGATATACATACATACATAATGAATTTGATATCGCTTATAGTTTCCATGAAAGGTAATCTATGCAGACCAAAATATTTAAAAATCACTTCAATTGGAATTTCATTTACACCCCTTGCCCGAAAACTTTTATTTTTGGCTCTCTTGCGAATACAAATGCCTATCAGCGATTGACTCCGAACCACTTGTAGTTCGTAAAAAAGTACTTTTTAAGTTGCTTTTAAAGTAGTTCCATTTCCGACAGGGTATGTAGGCATAGGCATTTTCAACTTCCCCCCCAAATCTCATTTACACCTTACATCACCGGCAGTCAGTCTGTCAGAGTCAATCGATCAGTCGTTCGGTCGGTTAAAGCCCGATTATGGCAACTTAACTTAACTTAACGGAACGTAGAACTAAGAGAATCAAAATGAAACAGATTTCGGCGTGGCATTAAGATATATGTTATAGTGACCCGATCTTTGTTATTTTCACTGTTAATATTCTGTTAATAATGAGTGAAAACGGTGAGAATTTTCATGTTCCCAGCTGCACAAATGGAGAAGTTATGGCAAAAAATCTCATATCTGAACAATCAGTTGTATGGAGGCTATAGGTTATAGCGACCCGATTTTCGCCATTTTTACTGAAAGTATTCTTTTGATAATGAGTGACAACAGTTCAAAAGTTCATGTTACTAGCTACTTAAATGGAGGAGTTATAACGAAAAATCTTATATCTGAACAATCAGTAATACGGAAGCTATAGGTTATAGTGACCCGATCTTTGTAATTTTCCCTCTAAGTTCTCTGTTAATAATGGGTGAAAGTATTGCAAAATTTCATGTTCTTAGCTGCATAAATGGAGAAGTTATAACGAAAAATCTCATATCTAAACAATCAGTTGTATGGGAGCTATATGTTATAGTGGTCCGATTCTTCCGGCTCCGACAAATGATCAATACATTATAAAAATACACCCACCTACCAAATTTCATTCGGATATCTCGAAAACTGAGAGACTAGATTGCATACAAACAGACGGACAGACAGACAGACAGACGGACATGGCTAAATCGACTCAGCTCGATCATTTCAGTATACATTTTAATGAGTCTATCTCTTCTTATTCTGGTACTTACAAACATCGGACCAAAGTTAT